CTGAATTACTAAGCTGCATCTCTCTCACTCTGTCTTTTTTCTCACAAACGTTCTCATAACACACATAATCATTATTATATATCGCGTTGATTGCATTTTTATGAATCCCGCACGTAATCACTCGGTTATAGTCGACTAATTAAGATACTTAGGCCGACCCTATAAATGGAATTGGGGAGAAACCGGCACTGCGGCGGGATAACGAGTTGGTCCAGTTCATCGGTACCGCCGTATAAACCTAACCGCGTACCACACCCTGGAAAAATATATTTCTTCATGTCCCAGGACATGATGTCTCGAACTTACTATGAACAAAATATGTAGTTAGTTTTCATATTAATATACTACCAGCTTATTTTGTTGGTATAGACATTACTTGTTATAATATTACTATTCAATAAAATATATAGGTAGGCTTATATTATATGGTTTTTTAATTGTAATATCTAGGTGTTACGGCATTATGTACTTATATACTCACCATTGTTTATAATAATATAACGACATATTTGCTTTAAGGCCTGTATTATAAGCTTACGAGAGTGAACGTGTACCAATGGTTTAATAATATGTATTATTTGATATTAGCAAATCCTTATAGTTGTTATCATAGGTAATGAAAAGTATTTCATTGAATCATGATAAGCACTTTAGCAGCACTGAATCACGCCGATTCAGCATAACCGATCACAATAGCAGTCCTTATGCTCCGTTTATTTGATTGCAGCATTTGTATTATGTAGCTTATTATAACATTGCATAATATAACAATAATAAATCTGTTATACCTAGGTACTTTTGCTCTGGATAAATCCAGGTGTATGATATGCGCTGTGTTTATATTCCGATCGTATTGTAGATGAACAAAACGTGACTATTATACAGTGGTATGAAAACTGCCAATTATATGAGCAGAATTGTGGTTCCTCTCCCTTATTTGAAAATGTATTTTTTTTCAAGTATATATTATCCGTGGTTATAATTAATAACAATTTAACAAGAAAACTAAAATACAGTGGACAATTTGTATTACGTTCTATGAAAATACTATGTTTGCTGTAGAAAAGAAAAACTGCAATGCAATCTTACTAATAAGTAATAAATATCAACGCTGTAACGAATTAATGTCATAATGATATAATTTATTGCACTCAGGCCTAGATTAATACAAGTGCTGCCACAGCCTCTATTTTTTAGATTCTGAGCTGAGCGATGAATGTACACAATACACATTGATTTTACAATGATGTGTTTTTAATTTTTTTCTTTTGTATGTGTCATCGCTGTTTGGGGCAGTAACATTGCTTTGGTTATTTTTCAACAGTATCTTGTTCGATGGGAAAGTGAATCTAGTTATTGCTCTAGGAAGCTCAACATTAAAAATTCTCAATATTTTTCAAAAACAAAACAAAAATTAAGGAAAAACGGTATGGTTTGGTAAAACTTTAAAACAAATAACTCTAGACACATGACATTTTCACTGAATGTTTATATTAGCATTTTCTATACAGGATACCATTTTCAAAATATTTTGACTTGTTTGAGCAGCTTACGGACATTTTCAGTTTCCAATTATTTTAGTTATTTTATCTATAAATGTCAATAAAATTCTATTAGACTGACCACCAACTTTGATTAGAATCTTTTTTTTATATATTATATGCAATGATTGATGGAATTATTCATTGAATTCAAATTTAACACACGTTTTTCACAGTGACGTATGTACTATAATGATGACAGACGAAGTACGTACACTCCACGTTTCTACACCTATTTTACAATAAAATGGTTAGGAAGATAACTAATTTTTTTTATTGCTTTTTTACCATACAATGTTCTTTAGTTTTATTCTTCAAATTATAATTTTACATTGCAAATTACAAAAAAATTTTATTTATATATTTATTTATTTTAAATTTGAAAATATTTGACTTTTTTTGAGCGGTTTACGGACATAGTAAGTTTTCAATTTTCTTAGTTTTTTTTTCTATAAATATCAATAAAATTCTATTTGTTGGATCACAATTTTTTTTAAACGATTTAAAGTTCGTTTTTTAACAACATTTATCAAATTTAAAATTTAAAAATGTATAAAATGTTCATATTTTATAGCTAAGGATTTAAAATTTACAACAAGGATCCACGTCGTTTTTGACTTAAGTAAATCTTGTGCCGTCAAAATATTTATCTAATTACGCTCACATGCAGTGCCGCTGGAATACCGTCCCGTTTCTGCAATATTGATTACTTTTCGTTGATTTTTATATCAATCGATGTAGTTTAAAGTTTAAACTACTTTAATTTTTGATAATATACGTTTAATAATTCTTAAACTATTTGGGACATAACTGCAGATCGTCCCTTCTAATTTTTTGACTATATTTCAGCACCTGTGGTGTTGGAATCCAGTTCAGTTTCTGCAATAATTTATATTTTTTCCTAATTTTTTTTACCAAATGATAGGGTATAATGTACTTCAAATTTGCTGTAAGTTTCATAAGTCAACAAAGTGCACGGGATCAGCTAGAAAAACTGGACATTTTTTTTAAAAAACTTTTGCTGTTGATTATTGGAGAAATAATTAGTAGAAATTAGTATTTATTATTTGGTTGCGATTGGTTAATCGGGCAGATCAAGTGCAAGCATTCATCAAATCAAATTTTCGCACATTGCCTACTTGATATGCTGTTGCACATTGTCCGGGATCCAACGTAGTCGGGTTGCCTACCAGGAAGGCTGAGTTGTGCCCAGAAGCAGTTGAACAATCACAATTTTTTTTAAAGTTGTAATTTTTATGGCCAACGAAGTGTCCGGGATAAGCTAGTTTTAAATAAAAATACAATATAGATTAAATTAATACACTTGGGGAAAAAAATAAGGAACGCTTAATGCATATTAATATATTGGACATTTTAAATTATCTGGACACTTATTAATTTTATTGTTTAACCATCACTTTATTTTGATGTAATTTTATAATATTAATTCAACTTACCGTCTACCGTATTAATAATAGCTAATATAAGTACCTAATAACAGTATGAATATAATATAAAATTTCTTCACTGACAAACCTTCAAAGCTCAGAATCGTTTTTCGTATACAATGATATTCTATCATTGAATTCAAAATTACTAATATCCATTATACGGTGACCCACCTGAAACCCTCTGTACATCAGAGCGACATCCACTTGCCCACTTTTTTTATTTTGAATACGTACTTTCGAAACTTTTAATTTTGTATAAATAACTATTAGATAGGCTAATATTAGTATACAATAGTAGGCTACCATTAGTAGCTATAACAGAACTTATATATTATTATTATTATTATAGTATGGTGACACCTATATATTATATACGATGTATACCGTTAGTTTGTTTAATTTTTCAGCTCATATAATGAGTGAAATGCAAAATCTAATAAGTACCTACCTATGATACATTGGATTTTTGCTTTTTTGTATTTTATTAATATTTTTAAACAGATATTGTAAGAATTTGTGGTATATTAAATTATCAAGCATTTTGACTCAATGAATACAATTTTATCGACACGTATAGAAAAAAAACAAAGAAAAATTTAAAATTTAAGATGTCCGTAAACAACTTAAAACGAGTTAAAAAAACGCTTGCCAAGTCAGGGATCGGCATGTAAACTTTCTTTATTTTTAATTTTTAGAAATTTAGTAACTGATATCACACCCAAGCTGCATAACAATTTGAATCCAGAAAATGTCGATGTGAACAGCAAAATCATTTTCGTTTTGTGGGATAGATATCCGAAACCGGGGAGCGGATTTTGTTGTTTGTGGTCTTGTTAGATTCACATTGGTTAGGAGAAGTGCAGTGAAGATTTTCAGGACTTTATCTTTAATATAGTTAATTCACTACAGAACCTTAAAAAAAATTAAAACAAATTTTATTTGGCGTATTTTTATGTTTTTCAGCTTTACAGCTTTGTAGTGAATTAACGAGCCAATATGAATTGAGGTTTTCAAAGTTGTTGAAAATTTGTTTTTAATTTTTACCTCCACAATGCACTGACTAGATTCACTTTCCCACCGTAAAAGATATACTAAAGTAGAAAATCGAAACATTATTTCGACTACTTATCGTGTACACGACACAAAAAATGAAAAACATACAAATAAAAAAAAACACACATCATTGAAAAATCAATACATTCATCGCTCTGCTTAGAATCTAAAATCATTAATCAATATAAATGTACTTATACCAACCTATTTTATTTCTCTGCAACGTCATTGTTCGTCGATATAGTTCCGAACTGTCAATTCGTTCTTTAATTGTCTTTCAAAGTACAAGATGACATAAAATAATTATTATATAAAACCTATACCTAGGTATAAATAAAATATCTGTATGCGTAAACATATAAAAAACGAAATTATTGCCTGTGGATCTTCGCATAGTATTATTATTTATTATACACTTGTCTTAAATTTGACTGCGTATACAAACATGAGCTGGTGGGCCGCGCACTGCAGTACAATAATACACTTCATATATCCCGACTGCAGCAATTATCGTAATCAACCTGCAGCAGGTTAGGTACCTATAGACCTAATAACAGCGTAGGTACGTCCGAGGTGAGGTAAAGAAAAAATTAAAAAATAAGATCATAGAAAAAAAAACACCATTACTATTAGTGGTTATAGCCATTTCGGTCTGTTTACTCTCATATTATGGACCGAGGCGTTCATATCTGTCACAAACTGGAAATTCATATTATATACCTGTTTAATGGAATCGCGCAAAACTGTCGCAAACATCATCACCCATTATCGGGGGCATAATAATGTGCGCACGTGTAATATTTCTGTATAAAAGCGTCGCGTGACAACGTTCTGTCATATTCACTCGTCAACCGTCGTCGCAAATAATAAGTGTTCACTGAGTTATCTGTTCGTGCAGTTTAAATCGCAGCCAGTCGCTTTTACGCAGAGTCCAGAGCAACCAAAGAAATCAACAATGTTCGCCAAAGTAAGTGAATTTTGTACATTGTTAATATTGTTATATTATGAACGCCAATATTATTAAGTTGTATCGCAGAGCAAAATATAGAAAGACCCGAACATAATAATAATATAAGTATCCACCTAAGAATAATATAGGCACACAATCGATCGGATCCGTTAAAACGTTCTGCAGGTCCAATACTTCTCTGCGTTTCGTCTAGGACTAGTATGTGTTATCACGTTATTTGGTTTATTTCCCTTAAATTTCGTATAAGTGCTTTTACTGCAGTTGCAGTAGGCACAAGACCAATAGGTACACCTCTGTATAGGTATCCAACCTAACCAAAAGGCCGATACAGCTTTCGTCGTCGGTTTACGTAAAGCTTGCTTGTATAAAATATTATTTAGTCATAAGTCATAACAAAATTATTCATCAAACGATGGGGTAATTATCCAAGTTTCAGATATAATAGAATACATCTTTCCTATAATAACGTTGGGCGGTTACAATAATTTAAAAAAAACCTCAAAATGTGCAGTGTAAATGCACAATATATCATAAGAACATATCATAATTAAAAACTCGAGAAGCACTCTGCATACAAAATTAATTGTCTCGAGACGTTAAGTTATCCGTGTAACAATAATGACGATATTAATATTATTATTAATTAATTAACCCGTGGCAACTTAGGCCAGTGGATGTTTTTTAACTGTTTGGGAGGGTACTGTAGGTTTAAACACTTGTGTTTGTTAGTTTGGCAGAATTTTCTAGTGGGCACCCGTAGGTATCTGCCATATTTGGGGGGAGGGATGGCGGCCTCTCTCTCACCAGACACCGTGACTTCCCGAAGAGAAGTGCCGCCAGTGGCCGGGATTCAAACCGGCGACGGTGCGAGTCGCAACCGACGCCTTAGTCCGGCCACTCCGCCCCCCTATATTAATATTATAATACATACGTGTTGTTTATATCTTTGCACAACAGGTAGCAGTTTGCTTCGCTTGCGTGGCCGTATTCGCCGCCCAAGCCCAATACTACCCCGCGGCCTCTTACCCTTCCGCTGCCGTGGTGCACGCCGCCCCGGTTGCTTACTCCGCTTACCCGGCGGCCTCCTACCAACCGGTCAACCCGAACCCGGCGTACGCGTACAAGTACGGCGTGTCCGACCCGGCCACCGGTGACTACAAGACCGCCGAGGAGAGCCTGTCCAACGGCGTGGTCCAGGGACAGTACAGTCTGGCCGAACCCGACGGCACAGTCAGGACCGTGTCGTACACCGCCGACGACGTCAACGGTTTCGTAGCCCAGGTCACCAAGGGCGCCAAAGTCATCGCCCCCGCTGCCCCAGTTTACGCGGCCCCGGCTCCGGTGTACTCTGCTCCGGCCCCGGTGTACTCTGCCCCGGCCCCGGTTTACTCCGCCCCGGTGTACGCGCCCGCCGTCCACGCCCCGGTGTACGCTCCCGCCGTTTCGTACCCGTTCCCGTACAAACGTCAAGCGTAAATGATCACGACGCCTCTTTAAAAATGCATCATCGTCATTTTCACTTTGCGTTTATTGCATCATCATCATCATCATCATCATTATTATTACCATCATGTGTGTAAAATGCTGCTGCAGGGAAGACCTCCTCGCGACGCTCCTTCTTCGTATATTATATTGTCTTGTCTGTATTCGTTTTATCTTTTTATTTTTGTGTAATATTTAGTTTCCTACTTGTAATATTATTGTATAATGTATTATTGTTATGACCACTTTGAAAAATGCAACAATAATAAATAATATGTTATAAATACCTATTGTTTTATCTTACGCAAGTGACATATTTTTATGTACCTGTCTATATAATCTTTTCTCCCGAGCTCCCAATACTGTGTGATTTTCGATTGGACGCTTTCGCTAAATCTGCATAATATCCATACCTATATATGTTTTGTAAGTTTCCGATTTCTGTGGTCAAACTGAAAAATATATACCTAGGTACGTCTCGTCGAAAAACGAGCAAAGTATGTTTTGCAGTTCCTATTATAGGTACCTACAATTATTGTATTCATTGACGTCATCTTATGTATTTTGACTTTACCCGTTACTAAATAACGTGGGCCATAATTGAATCTATCTTTTATTTTATCAGTTTATCACAAATCAATCTGTGTTGTAACTTTTAAATAACATACTGCGCATTATGCCATTATCAATAATACATAATTATTTATCGCTTGATGCAACACAATATAAATGTATATTAAATTAATACTTACACGTGTTTACTGTTAACTGTGGGTATGAGTAATTACAATAAGTTTCGATGACAATTTTAAGATATACCTATATCTATACATAGGTGCAGAGGATATATGATTTAAAAATATATAAAATTAATTTAACCACAACGAATCGTTATGAAAATAGGGTTTATGGATTTTAATATGTGACTCATTTTATTACATATTATAATGTGTATGTATACTATACATAATATAGGTACTAATTTATAAATATGGTTTACCTACTTAATCAACCAAATAGTTTTTATAAAAACAGACTAAAGATTGTACCGTAACAATGTCGTTGTAGTATATAATATTTTATATTACAAATATGAATTAGGTCAATAATGTAGTTTGATTGAAGTATTGTATGTATTGCCTATAATATAAACATGACTTCCAGTAATATTAGCAGTACTCAAATCACGTTTCCGGTCGTTTGACCAGACGCAAATACGTAATATGACTTATTATTATTTACTAAATTTTTTTAATATTTAATACATTAATTTCGCTACCTAATAAATTTCTTCATGTGAACAAATTTCATCAAACCTGAACAACTCTTTACAAGGTGATCCGTTAAATGTGATTATTAATCTTTTCAAAAAATATTTTAATGCCTAAATACAATAAGATAAACATTTTTTTTCTTTTTTCTCCGTTCTCCATAATAAATGTAATGTATTCATGTTTATAAATTATAATGTTATGCTAATAACCATAGTTGGAGTCGAAGCAGAAATTGTACAATTCCAAAACTAATAAAAAAAAAAAAAAAATGGGTGTATTGATGTGATTTTAAAACTAAATGCTTGCGAAACCATTTAACTATTATGAACAGTAGTCAATGATATTATATACTTGATTTCATATTTAGAATTACAGTACCTATATTTATCTTGATACGAGATAAGGAAAAATTCAAACCCACAAGTGGGGTTGGGGAAATTACGTATACAAAATTGTTTTGCACTTACTATCCTCTCACATATATTAATAGTTATGTCTAACACCCATTCTAGCTATAAGTTAAAAAAAAAAACTATTGGTTCAATGTTCGATATTAAATATAGTACGCCCGTGTAAACCTAAATGGTAAATTGGTATAGACCAGATTGACCAGGGATATCCTATAATAGACTGTTGAAATTGTTCGGTGTCATTCATATAATGTGTAATAAATAATAATCGTTTCACAAAATAGCAAAATGTTCTAGTGATGAATATAAAGTACTATCTGAACCCGTTCACTCCGTTGCCCTTAAAAAATTGCAACTCTTAAAAAAATTATGATTGTTCAACTCTTTTTGGGTGTAACTCTCTGCAGTAAGTACAACTCAGCCACACTGTAGGACAAATGACACCTTAGTGTTTTTTAAAAAAAATATTATTCATCGTAAAATTATCATCCACTCGATTGTTAACGATTCATTGTTACATAGCATTATATTCGTTAACTTGTATTTATACAAAAATCCAAATCGATCGTATGGACAGTCGTTTTGGTCTCTGCCATTAAACATCTACCTATAATAGATTCATACATAATGAGATACCTGAATGATCCTTGTATTATTATGACTGTTCCAAAATCAAAACATTGTATGCGTACCATATATACCTTTACCATAGTGATGGCTATTGTTTGCCGTTTTAGGATGCCCTGCAGTGGGGATATAATTTTCTGTTTGTGTAGGTACTATTATTTTGGTATATACCTAGTGCAGTGGACTGTGCACAGGTAAAATGAATTTTATTTTAAACGTCGATTCATCGTATACTTTCGTGTTCGACGACAGGACAAATATTCGTATCTCGGAAAATTCGATTATTGTCCACCCACTCCGTCTTGAGTTGACGGATCGGTTCTTCAGATATTATTGTCTGCTATACTAATTCGTTTTTTGTTTTTTTTTTTATTTAACAATCGATGTCGTTTTTATTCGATTTCGCAGATAAAACTTTGAGATGACTGCCGCAGTCTCCGAATACTCGTGGTATTACAAGGTGGAACACAAAAGTGTATTTTTATTGTTGACGAATAATATGCCTGCTATAATATGTCCCTACTCCCTATCGAATAAATAATGTCATCGACCGTCTTTACGTGTATTTTATTTTTTATCATCGATTTAAGCATAACACTATGACATTTATTTACACCTGACATGTCACATGTATATTATTGTATAATTGTGTATAACATAATAGTGTGCGTTTCGGAATTTACAGAGTTTTATTTTGTGATCATTTAACATATACCTTAACTCTGTTGTTACTGAAAACTTTTGATCGAACAAAAGTTCAAAGAAACCAATGGCTGCAATTAATAAATTTTACGTGTACAAACTAAAAAATACTACAAATACAAATAATTACCTAGACGATTATGTTCGTCCGCCGATGGCTATTCCTGTTCGGTTAGGGTTAGGTTTCGGAACCACGGTAGATTATAATCTACCGTGGTCGGAACTAATGAAAAAAATCCAAGTCGATCCATCCATATAATTTTATTCACGCCATATATAATATTATACCTACGCGTATGTATTGGGTTCGTTTGCCACACATTGTGTTCGCTAAACGCGATCGAGGCGTAACGAAAGGATGAAAATGACACGTTTCCTTTTCGACTCTGCGTCTATGTATAGAGGTACCTATATATCTTGTGTTGCACGACCCAAAGGTCAATAATAATATTGTATACATCACCGCCGTCGGAAACCGTCTGGGATAACAATAATATTGTGTTATTGCAAAATAGGATCGTTCGAATCCATTGTACGTCGTAGCTAGGTACGTGTCGATCTAGTTGACAAAATAAACATCATCCAAGGACCGCGACCGCGTTGTGCCACTCGCAGTTTCGTAACGATTTTGTATAAACGTCTGGCCACAATGGAACGACGATGGCTTACGATATTATACTGACAATCAGACAATTTAATCATAATAGTAATAACAATAATGATGATAATTCATAACCACTAATATATATTACCCCTTAAATATGTGTCTAAGGTGTCTCTCTGTACCGCGTGTGTCACGGTGATCGACCTTTCGTACTCATCGGCAACCGAGTGCATGTGCAGTACCGTATATGCACCGAGTTGCACTGCACCTCAAACGTGACGACACTTGGATACTAGAATGTTACAGCAATAGGTATTGTATATTATACAACTACATACTATTCTTCTTTCTTTGATTGTCGATATTCTGGTCGGCGTGAGGAACGTGTTAGTTTCGATGACAGAGTGTATAATATTATACAGATGCGTTCCTCTGGTCGTGTTATGTCTGTGTTTTGGATAGAAGACGTATTACAAAAATATCACTTCATGCTTTCCATGTTTTCGGTACATAATAATAATGCGTAGACTATACATTGGAGAGGAGTTTTGGGTTATATCGCTCGTTTTAATATAATAACAACATAAAAACCAATAACCTGAAATAACTCAACTATTTTTCATAAAATCAATGCTATTGGGCCTTGAATTACTCACCAACTATATATAACTGAAGTATATAAATTATAATTTAGATGCTCTTCCTTTGATGCGCCTTAAGAGTTTTCAAAAGAGGTGGGTTATGTGTCATGCATGTTTCTAGCATAAAACGACATGCATGACTTCCGTTCGTCGGTTAGAAATTATGTATATACTGTTCTTGTATGGACTGGATAAAAAAAAAAAATAATACACAACTTAAAAACTAATAAATGAGTAATGAATAATTTAACTTTACCAATCGTAAACAAAAAATTAATTAAATAAAAATAATAAAACGTTGCGTCTCTGATAATATATCTTTAGTTTCACAGAATAGAGATTTTAAAAAACCAAATTTAATTCATTTACAACTTGAATAACCATATTTATATGTCTAGAATTTGTTTTTACGTTATTTTCGTTTTTATATTATTATTTTGTCTAGAAGTTGTCTTCAGTTATCGATCTGTTTCCGTCGAGATTGGACGTAGTCCGACGTCGTTTCTGCTCGCTTATCGCGTATTTTATTCTTATCTTATTACTGTTGTTCGAAGTCGTTCGTGCTCGCCCTTCTAATCAAACGTACTTTTTGTTACTATTTTTGATATTTTAAAATGATCTGTTCAATTTGTAATGATGAAATTGCTACTGGAGAACATATAAAATGCAAATTATGTAATGAATACTTACATTTTGTATGTGCGGGATTCAGAGAGTCTGTTTTTAAGAAAACATC